TGATTTCTATGTTTGTAAAAGAAACATCTTTAGTGTTGCAGCAGTGTTCATCCTTAGTGTTCACTTTTACTGCAAGATGAAAAGAAACAGTCATACATGCTACTAAGCTCTTTACAGGCACAATTTATACTGTACAGGCAAGAGAAAGAGGTTGATTGGGGGTGGGGAATGGAAGTGTGGAAGTCCTCTGTGCCAATGTCATCCACAGATGATGTTGAAATGTAGATGAAGAATTTTAGTGCAAACTGGGAAAAACTGCTTCTATGCTTGTGTTGGGTAGTGTGTGAATTGGGGGTTTCAAAGGCTGCCATGCCACACAAATGTTTGTGAATGTATGAGTTCTGAATATGCAATATCATTATATGGAGCTTTTAGGTGACTACTTATGTTTAGACCCCCATGTAGATAGTGCTATGTACACCAGGCTGTGAAGGCTACAGGTCCTGAAAACTCATACTTACCTGAGAAAGGTGATACCATGCTTGTAATGGTGGTTTTCCCAGTGTGAGGCTTATACATATACTCCAAATGTACTGCTCTGCAATCTCCCCAAATATGGGAAATTTGCCTGCCTTATTTGTAGCAGTGGGAAAGATAACATGACCATGAACATAGTTTTTCCATGGTGAATCTTCAGATTATGATCTTGATACTGTATGGAGAATTCATCTCTGCATTCTGTGTAGTGATTCCAGTACTAGGATAGTGGTTGCCACATCAAACATTTGATGTAAGTATTCACCACATATAAATAATGACATAAGAGTAGATGATTTTCATCATGAGTGACACTCAAAAGTTCAAGACTGGAGGCTGAGGCAGAAAGATCACAAGTTAAGCCCAGATAGAGTAATTTAGGGAGACCAAATCTAAAAAGAATAAAAGGGCTGAATGTGAAGCACAGTACAAAGGCCTTAGGTCCAGTCCCTAGTACTGGTATGGGTTGTTCAGGAATGTGCATAGAGAAAGATACTTGTGTAGGCAACATGATCATCAGAAGGCATGTTAGTTTCTGTGAAGTCAAGGCTGCCATGAGCCTGGCATTCAGTGTTTACTTCCTTGGGTAAAATACAACTTTCTGGGATAAAATTAGTGAGGTGATGAGATATGATAGATACCATACCACTAAGGTGAGCTGGGATATGCTGTGTGGATGAGGGTATTCAGCAGATGTCTATCCAGAGTTGCTGTGACCTTTGTGCAGGGCCCTGTTCCTGGTAGATGCAGGGCCATGGCACTGTGCATGTCAGAAGTGATGTTTTTTTTTTAATTTAGTACAGGGTCTCACTGCTCAGGTGGGACTCATAGTGATCCCACTGTTTTCAGCCTCCTAAGGGCTGGAATTACAGGCACGTACCACCACACCCAGTCTCAATCTCTGTCTCAGCACGCCCTGGGGGGAAGGCTGGCACAGCACACTGGGCATCAAACCCTGGTCTGCTGAGCTATCTGGCTGGCCCCATCTTCAGCTCTTTTAAAATTTGTGTTTTGAGACACAGTCTTGCCATATTGCCTGGGCTATCCTCAAACTTTTGTTCCTCCTAATTCAGCCTCCCAACGGGATTAGAGGCATGGACCACCATCCTCTATTTAAATTCATTTTAGGGGCTGGTGAGATGGCTCAGTGGTCTAAAGCACCTACTTAGAACAAGCTAAGCTAAGCAAAGCACAGGGACCGAGGTTCAATCCCCCAGCACCACATGCCAGCCAGCCCCGCCCCCTGGTGGGCTGAGCTGGCCACACACACACACACACACACACACACACACACTAAATAAATAAATAAATAAATAAATATTTTTAAAAAATAAATAAATTCATTTTAACTGTTTTAATTGTGGACTCTGACATTAGAGAGTTCAGCGTGGGAAGAATGAAAAAGGAAGTGAATCAGGAAAGTAATTTAATGCCCTGTCCACTGCATCTTTGAAATTCCATAGGGAGGACAGTGGTGGATTAAGAAATGAAGTCAGAAAGCTGAGGTCAGATGTTGCCCCTCTCCTATGGGAGAAAGGACTGTGCAACAACTGCAGTGCATTTACTAATACAATTAGCATAAGAGGCTCTCTACAGAGAATTTTAAAGGGAGGATAAGATCTGGAACAGGAAGAACATTTAATCTTCAACAAAACATCATGTCTTGGTGATTACACAGGGAACAAGAGAGAAGTCTGTATTATTTCAGGGGAAGGCCAAGTCACTTTGTGCATCATCTCCCTGAGCTGCATACACTTTCATGGTGCCCTGTCAAATTTATGAGAAGCAGTGACCTTGTCCTAGGTACACAAGGTATAGACAGCTTTGAACCCAACAGTTTCTGAAAACTTGAGCCACACATGGTGGTATATGCAGAGGCAGGAAGATTATGGCAAGTTTGAAGGCAACTTGGGCCACAAAGTTCATGCCAGCCTGAAATACATACAGAGACCTTATCTCAACAAAACTAAAAAAAGCTGAGCGTCATGGCATACCCTATAATCCCAGAACCCAGGAGGTTGAAGCAAGAGGATCACCTTGAGTTTGAAGCCAGCCTGAACTACAAAATGAGTTCAAAGCCAGCCTGCACTATGTGGCAAAGACCCTGTCTCATAAAAATGAGGAAAAAAAAAAACATGCTATAGGTGTGACTGGCAATTGGGCCGGGTGTGTGTGTGTGTGTGTGTGTGTGTGTGTGTGTGTCTTGTTAAATTGAAAGCAAAACTGTGCTGTTTGCAACTTTGGGGATTAAACCCAGGAACACTTTCTGAGCTATATATACCCCAGACATTTTGTTTTATCTTGGACACAGTGTCTTGTGAAGTTCTCCCAAGCTGAACTTGAATTTGTGATTCTCTTGCCTCAGCCTCCCAGAGTACCAGGATTTAAAGTGTGGGCCTCCACACCCTGCTTCCTGTTATATTTAACTTTGAGAGGGTCTCAGGAAATGTTCCAGGTTAGTCTTAAATTGTCATCCTCCTGTGTCTTCTAAGTAGCTGAAGCCTGTGCTGCCCCCAGTTTCACTTTGGAAACTCTCCTATCATTCGCAAGTGACCTAAAGTGACTTTGGTAACTACTGTAACGAGAAAGAACTATACTCCAAACATATTCAACAAAACAAAGCTTTTCCAAGAAATTTATGGAAAGCAAAAGGGAAATGCAGCTAGCGCCTTTGATAATACCTATGGTTGCTGCAAAGGGATCTCTCTTGTCTGGAGCAGTAAGGCAGATAAACTCAATGTGTCCTCTTTATGGTAAGACAAGTTCTCAGTTAGCAAATAGACAATAGACAGATGGACTTTGTTCTCTTGGCATCAGAAGCTGCCCATTTAAATCCCTGCGAAGCCAGCTACCTAGTGCTCGACATCAGTTCAGGGATAGCGCATGTGGGTTTTCCCACATTCCATTTTTGGAAGTGGGAACAGACTGACTGGGTGCATTGGGGATGTACTGATCCATACCTGGCACAACCTACTCCATTGCCTTTCTCTGGGTCACCCAGCACTATCTGCCCCTGCCAGAACAGTGAGCACGGTGTAGAGGCCTGTGGAGAAATGCAAGCAGCTCACTCCCACTGCACCTCCAGGAGGGAGCCCTAGAAGAAGCTTTGCCACTGTGGTCCAGGGCCTCACCATGAGAGGTGCAGTCATATAGATGACACCTGGTGGCTTCAGTTCCAGTGTGTTCTTTAGCAACCATATTTCCTGGGCACTTCTCAAAGAAAGGAGGATAAAAGGAAAGGTGTGGTGGGGAGAAGCGTGTGGCTTAGAAAGGAAGGCATGAAGGAGCCATGACCCTGAGTTTATGATGAGTAGCTGAGGAGAGTGAGGTGTCATGCAAGGGCTGCAGTTCATATTTACCTGGCAGTGGAGTTATCATGATCATGAGGGTGGTTTTGCTGAGGTGAAGGTTATTAATTGTACTCCAGATCTACTAACCTCTGCAGTTTCCCCAAATATATTTTAACAAAGGTGATGTGAAGTATAGTTGAAGAAGTAGTGAATATTATTTCACTACTATGCTATTTTATAAAATGAAATCAAGTATCCTCATTCTCTCAGATTCTTAGGGACAACAGGTTTGTTTATTTTGCAGAACCGGGAATTGAACTCAGGCCCTTGCACTTGCCAGGGAAGCACTTATTCTGCTGAGCCATCTCCCCGGTCCGAACAACAGGTTTTGAAATGTAAGTCTTTCCTCTGTGTTTCTGGTTCAGTTAGGATAAGTCTGTTTCTCTTTTTTAAAACAGGATGTCTCGGGCTGTTCGGCTTTCAATCCCTTGTCCTGTTCGGCTTGGTACTTTAAGAAACGATTCTCTAGAAGCTGAACTTCATGAGTATGTGAAACAGGGAAACTATGTGAAAGTAAAGAAAATTCTCAAGAAAGGTAAGTATGGGGGCCGGGGAGAAGGTTCAGTGGAATAAGTGCTTCCCTGGCAAGTGCAAGGGCCTGAGTTCAATCCCCGGTTCTGCCAAAAAAAAAAAAGAAAAAAGAAAGGTAAGTATGTGTTGAGATGGCAGGGTGACTGAGTCAGCTTTGCCGGATATCCACTTTTCTGGATGGCATTTGGAAAAAAAGTAGGGACATCTAGCAATACATCACAGTCAGTAGAAGTCTTACTTAAAACCCTGTTTGAAGCCTGTGTTCTTGTGTGATGGGGAACTACCTGGTCTTCTACCCTGTAGATGTTCTAAGGTGCACCTCAGGCTGCTCACCTTGATTCTGCCTGATTCCCTTTTCTCTTTCAAGTCACCTTCATCCATTGAGACTTCTGGTGGGTCTGGTTGTCTGAGAAGTAAGCTTTCATAGCCCCTGCCTGTTATAGTTTGTATCTAGATGTCCCCCAAAAGCCTCATGGAGTCATTGGGGCGGTTTCTAAAGTTTGTGATTAATTCATGATCTAAATGTAGGGATTATCGGTGTGAATGTTACACCCACCCTTGCGTGGGTAATCTGCATATGATATGGGGAAGGGAGAGAGGCTTGCTAGCTGTGGCAGCTTCTGTTTGACCCTTTGCTCTCTACTGTTTTCCACTACCATGAGCTGCTGTCTTCTTCCCTGTGTCACTCTGCCTTACAGCCAGCTGAGTATGGACTGAAACCTCCAACTGTGAACTAAATAAGCCTTTCCTTCCTTAATTTTGGATGTCAGATATTTTATCTCACCAACGAGAGAAAAGTAACTTAGACAACCTCTTGCTTGTTCTTTATTTCCACTTGGTGGTTTTGTTTTCAGGATTTTCTTGTTGCAAGTATATGCAAGTCAGTAAGTAGATGGAAATAGTAGACAGTACTCAGAAGAATGACCAAAGAGAAACCACAGGGCTGGAAAGATAGGTCAGTGGTCTAAGCACCTGCCTGGCAAGCACAAGGACCCAAGTTTGATCCCTAGTACTGCATGCTGTGCTGGCCCTGAAACCCCAGGGATATTGTCCCAGCCACCGAGACCAGGCATGGTAGTGCATGCCTGTAATCCTAGTGCTGGAGAGGCTGGGACAGGAGGATCACTACAAGTCTGAGTTGCATAGTGAGACCCTGTACCAAAGAAAGAAAAGATTTTTAAAAAGAAAAGGAAGGGCCAGGGAGATGGCTCAGTGGAATAAGCGCTTCCCTGGCAAGCGTAAGGGCCTGAGTTCAATCCCCCGTTCGGCCAAAAAAAAAAAAAAAGAAACAAAAAGATTTACTCTAGGCTCAGGCATGGTGCCACATACTTGTAATCCCAGCACTTTGGGAGGATGAAGAAAGAGGATCACAATTTTGAGACAAGTCTCAGCAGTTTACCAATGTAGGTAAAACATTTTTTTGAAATTAAAAAGTGAGAATGAAAAGAAGTAGGTCAGCATGAATGCTCTAGGTTCACATATTTTCCTTCTTGCTGGCAAGTTGATTAAATTTTTTGAGGCAGCAGACAGGGTCTGGCTATGTAGCACAGGCTTGCCTTGAATTTACTAAGTAGCCCATGCCATCCTTGAACTCATGGTGATCCTACTGCCTTACTCTGCTTCCAGCAGTTCAGTGAAATTATGACATTAATTTTAAAGACTCAGTCCCACAAAACTACTACTACAACTACAAATGGGACACCCAGCCTACACATATTTCTGCTGGCTAACTATACAGCTGTGAGTTCGCACAACAGCCCTCACATTGGATAATTTACTAGAAAGACTCATAGAACACATTTACCATTATCAATTAGTATAAAAAAAAATACAACTTGGGAAGACCCAAATGGAAAACATGTGTAGGGCTAGGTATATAAGCGGGCCTATAAAGATTCTGTGCTCTCTCCAGGCATGCCAACACTACCATCAGTGCACAAGCCCCCAAACCCATTTTTTTAGTTCTGGGATTAAACACAGAACCTTATGTATCCTAAGCAAGCAATGTACCATTGAGTTAGAAGCTGAAAAAAAAAATATATATATATATTGATTTTTATTTATTTATTTTTTTGGTACTGGGAATCAAACTCAGGACCTTGCACTTTCCAAGCAGGTGTCATGCCACTGAGCTATATCCCCAGCCTCTGGATATTTAATTTTTTACAAATGTATTACAGTAAAAGACACATTGCCATTAATCTCCCTTACAGTACTCCTGACTGTGAACACTTTTATCCCATCTGTCTTGCTGCTTTGTGAAGCATTTATGGAAGCCCTGTTTGTGATTTTTTAGATGTGGTTCAAAATATGGCGAATGCTGCCATCAAGTGTTCTCCAACAAAAATGCAGGCTCATAAAAACTCCCTATCTTGTTCTTTGGTTCTGCCTCTTCCCAAAGTCAAAGTGATGTTGAGAAGTAACTATTTTTAATCAGTTCATGACATGGAAGCAGCTGTCTTAGAGCAACTCAAGAAAGGAGTTCCTCTGTTTAGGCAGACCATTGAGACTGGGTGTGGTGTTGCGTCCCTGTAATCCCAGCTTTTGAGAGTCTGAACACAGGCGGATCACTATGAGTCTGATCTACGTAGTAAGACCCTGTAGACCCTGTCCTAAAATACAAAAAAAGAGTAAGAAGCTAGGCTTGATGGCACATGTCTGTATCCGAGCATTCAGGAAGCTGAAGCAGGCAAATTGCCTTGAGTTCAAGACCATGCTGTGAG